ATAAATGAAAAAGTTGAAAAAATCAGCTACATTAAAATTTTAAAATTTCTTAGTGTCAAAGTCCAAGCACAAACTTGGACACTATAATCAATATGTGTTGAAAACAGTGATAATATTTAGAATACATAAATACTTTCTAAAACAAAAAAGACAATACAATAAAATGAGCAAGAAACGTGGACAGCTATTTGCTAACCAACAGAGTGAAAAAAAAAATGTTAGTATCAAGTATTGGTGAGGATGTGGAGAAACGTAAATTTCTATAGATTCTTGACGGGTGTGTAAATTCACACAACTATTTGCAAAGCTAGTTGTTATTATTTAGTAAAGTTAAAGATGTGCAGAGTCTATTGCCCAGAAATTGTATTCCTAGGTATATGCCCTACAGAAAATTTTGTACGTGTGTCTGAAGAGACATGTACAAAAATAATGATATCAGCATTGTTTTTAGTGGCAAAGTTAAACAATTTAGTGCTTATATATACATATATATTTATACACATATATATACACCATAGACACACATACACACACACATAAATGTGGTAAAATTACCAAGAAATGTATGGAAATGAGAAACCTAGAATTCAGGATGAGACAAAGTATGCTACCCTGTGCTTGAGAAAAGGGATACTATCTGGGTGGGGCTCACAAAGAATTGCAACAATATTAGCAATTTTCAATTACTTAAGTTGAGTGTTGGGTTCATAAATAGTCATTTAATAACTTACTGGGACTCATTTTATATAAATATTCTTTTGAATGAAGCAGATATTTTAGCATAAAATAAATATACATTTAATAGACATACTGTCGAATTATGATGACTATCTGGAGACAAATTATTAGGTGTACTTTGGCATAGTTTATTTGAAAAGCTTCCTATTAAGTGATGGAAAATACTGGACATACACACCACCATTTTACTTGCTCATCAGATCACTCATAATACATTTGCTCCAGAAATATACTATTAATCATTAGATTGAGCATGAGAGGTAAAACTAAATTATTATTATACTTATGGTCTATTAGACTGCAGTTCTTGTAATATCCAAAGGAGTTCCTTCCAGGTATTGTAATACGATTTTTAGAATAAGCCTGTTCCAATGCCTCAATGTTGATGTCACACAAATTGACCCTTAAAATTAAGATTCACGTTAAGGATCATCTTAGAAAATACGAATGTGTTCTGAATAAGACTAGATACTCCATGGCTACTCCAGAATAATAAAATATTTATTGACGTTTGAATTAGAATAGCTATCCAGATATAATAAAGCTAACTTTGCCTGAACTTCTTTACATGTATAATTCCTGCTACATATAACAGAGCTCCTAGGAAATATGTTTGGTAATGACATTTTCATAGATAATGATATTTGAGCTCACAGAGGGAAATCAAATTGTAGGGACACAGTGTAACTTTGCCACCATTCAGGGAACCAGCTACATTGATATATGGGCTAAGGTCATGCGGCTAGTAAACTGCGGAATATGAATTCAAGTTTGGAAAAGGTGGACTTAAGAGGCAATGCTTTTATCCATGGAGTAGACAAATTCATTAATTTAGGGACTTTATAAAGAGGAGTCTTTTTTCTCTTTAATTTTGTTCAAGATATGTCCTTTCATCTTAAAGTTTCCCTTTGTGAATTGAAACCATTTGAAAATAAACCCAATGTTATAAGCCTTTAAATCTGACATCAGTAGGTTGTTTGGTTTACTAGATGCAAATACACAGGTAGAAAACAGATGGAATGACACACAGAGAGGGTGGTAGGGAATTGAGGAGTTTAGGTTGTTGAGTCTCCCTCCTTTCTTTTCTTTGTTGAATAGAGATAAGATTCTGAGATGAATGACTTAGCAGATGTATGCAAGAGAAACACTTCAGAAACAGGTTATGAAATAAGCGATAGAAACTATCACTCAAGCTGAAATGTCATTCATGATGTTTACTAAGGAAATAGCTATTGAACTCAAAATGTGCTAGATATACAAAGATTAATATGACCAGATTCTTGGCCCTTAGGGTGTGACGATTTATGTTATTGCCAGGAGTGCTTGGATGCCAAGTAGCAAAAGGTTTACAATATCCAAAAGATGGTGAAAATTAGAACACAATAAACCAATGGTTATTGTGTTATTTTAACTGCGTTACTTTACTCTGAACTTTTCGCCTGTATTTTGTTTAAATTTTTA